CCCCCTCCGCGCTCTCCCTCTCCCTCTCCCTCCCTCTCTCACACGCGCGCACACACATACCCCCCGCCCCAAACCCATACACGCAGGGGACTCTTCCCCTCCGCTCTCCCTCGCTCTCACACCCGCGCAAACCCATACACACACGGACTCCCCCCTCCACTCGCTCGCTCTCTCACACACACACATACACACACATTGGGACTCCCCCTCTGCTCTCTCTCTCTCACACACGCACACCCCCAAACCCCTCCACACACAGGGACTCTCCCCTCTGCTCACACACGCACACACACATACACCCCCCCAAACCCATACACACAGGGGACTCTTCCCTTCCACTCTCCCTCGCTCTCACACCCGCGCAAACCCATACACACACGGACTCCCCCCTCCACTCACTCTCTCTCTCTCTCTCTCTCTCACACACACACACACACACACACACACACACACTGGGACTCCCCCTCTGCACACCCCCAAACCCCTCCACACACAGGGACTCTCTCCTCTGCTCGCCCTCTCTCTCTCTCACCCAGGGCTGGGTAGATGGGAAGAGCAGCAGCAAAGAGGTGGCTGTAGTCACTGAGGTGGCGCCCTCCAGGCTGCCGGGCCTCTCTGAACATTGCCAGGCTCCTAGGGCTGGAAGGGACCTCGCAGGGATCCAGCCTCCAGCAGGGAGCTGGATTAAATGATCCTTTGCAGTCCCCTCTGGCCCCCTGCTCAAGGCAGGGCTACCCCCAAGTTGATCCCTGGGACAGCGGCAGGCAGCTGGCAGGGGCCTTGGGCAGGGATAAAGGAAAGGGTAGGGCAGCATCATTGGAGGTGGATGGTGCCCCCCAGGGCAGCCTGCTTTTGCAGGGGTTACCTCAGCTTGGTAGAAATGTCCGTAGGGAGCAGCAAGCAGGTCCCTTTCACTGCCCCCAATGGCACACAGGGATTGTGGAAATGTCCTGTCTCCCCCAAGCCCTTTAGTGGGGTTTTGGAAAAAAAAAACACCACCTTATCCCACAGAAACAACAGCCAGCATCCCTCAAGAGCGCGCAGGCACCAGGTGGCAACACATTCCCTTTATGTTTTCATTCCCAGAATAGATCTGAGTGATTGCTGTTGCCCGGGAAGCTACTGCATCTGAGGGTGTCTGGATTTAGCCCTTATGGTCCTGGAAATTTCCATCCTGTGGCACAGATGGAGAGATCGAGAAGTAAAAATAGACACGTGTTCAATTATTTGTGTCCCTAAAATGCCAGTCGTTAAAAGTCAGTGGATGTGTTTGGCTTGGAGATGATTTTTAGGGGAGCCTAGGAGGGAACAATCCTGGCTTTCAGAAGTTTTGGCTAAGATGCTGTTTTGAATGTTCCAGATTAGTCAAACTTGGGACAAAAGAAATAACTGACTTGCATATCCTCTAGAGTCTAGGGCCCATTCTGCCAAGGATAAGCTGAGAGAGAGATGGAAAGTTGGTCTCTGAGCAGAACACTAACCCTAGACCTTTCAGGGGTTATCGAGATAGATTAAGAGTCAGAAGAGAGCTCTTGTACTCACTCCAAAATCCCCTGCATCTGAACATTGCTTTGCAGAAATCCATTTGAACGTTTGTGCTGATGACTCATTAAGATCTCAGCTGACAAACAAGATGCAAGGAACAGAACTTGTTGCACCTCCTAGTTCCATCTCTCCATCCCCACATCCAGCTCATTAATAAAATGGTTAAACAACACCAGACCCAGACTTCCTGTCAGTCTGACATTGATCCATATGTAGTCACCCTCTGCTTACACTTATTCAGCTATTTAGGTTTCCATTTTGCTGCAATTCTATCCAGCCAACAGATCTCCAGCTTGCTCGTGGTCGCATGGTCTCCTGAGTTATGCAGCATAAAAAAAAGCAGTTAATTCACATGGGAAGAGGTCTGAGGTCAAACCAGGAGGAAAATGAGGCTATATGGTAGAATATTTATGATACTATGGAACCACTAATGGGTCTTCCATAGATGTGCATGTTCTGACAAGAAAGGAAATCTCAGAAGTGTGATTCCTTTCAGCATTATTCATTTATAAATGTAGCATAACTTAATATTATTATGAGCATAATTAACCTAATCTATCTGCCATGCAAGCTACACACCCAAGGCCATAACTCATTGTTTCTTGCAGGAGAAAGCACTTTGGCCCCAGGCAAACTAGGAGTCTACAGGTGTCCCCTGTGCTGCTGCAAGTCCTGTCAAATTATGTGGGATAAAATGTGCTATTATGAAATGCACACCCTCAGGATGACCCAGGAGATGACCCTGGAGGTAAATCCAGCCTCTCCAGGACAGTGCAAAGGACATGGAGACAGACCTGGATGGTGACCAGCCCAAGTCCTCTAGCTGTCCCTGGTCTGCAACATCTTGGCCACCCCTACTAACAAGAGGTTTACACTCCTGTCTGCATGAGCTTGCCATCACTGCCTGCCTCATTCCTGGCAAAGCTGCCTTCCTCCTAGTCTTAGGGACCCAACCAATGGAAGGGAACATGTACTGGCATTTGGGATTTGCATTACCATGCATTGGCATTTGAGAAGCCCAGAGCTATGCTATGCTATCTCCCATAACCAGGCTAGCAAGCAAGAGGACAGGGCTGAAAACACTTCCAGAATTCATTCCTGAGAAGAGAGGCGGAACACCAAGCTAAGCCTTGTGGCAAGCCACCACCTGTCTCTCTGACTTATTCAGTTCCATTGTGGGTGTGGGTACATTTAGGCTGGTGCAATTGAATTGGGCAATTAAGCCCTGTCATTGTTTTATGCAGGTGCATCAATAGCAGAGATGCTGCCATGATTGCATTCTGTGGGTCCCTCTCATTTCACCTTCAGTTGGGGAGCAGTTATGATAATTTCCCACTTGACACCTCATTGGGTCCCTGTGCTCAAAGCTCAATGACTGCACAACAGCCTTTTCATCTGCTCTCAAATTCTCAAGAACACTGGGTAAAAGGGCTTGAGTGTAGGAAGAGAACAGGTACACCTGAGGAGACATGTGAGAAGTGTAACTTTTACTGTGTAATTAAGGTAGGAATTTCTGCTAAATGTTCCAGCTCTTCCTTCTAGACAGGAGTAACCTAAGGCTAGGTTCAACAAAGAACTCAGAGGGTTGGCCTATGTAGTAGTATCCAAAGCACTGTTAGACATCTAGGCTCCTTATGCAATACCTCGAAACAGTTTGGCTTTTCAGACTAGTAATTCAAAACACCCACATGAAACACCAGCGTGCTGAGCAGGGAGCCTTCTTGAGTGAGGCAATAGCAAGTGTGGAGGATAGGGATCCACCTGAAATCTCACATCCCTCTGAAGCTTTGATGCCTAAATCAGGGCTGAAGGTAGATCCCCCAGTCCACTTGGAATCCATGCTTAGAGTCTTCTCCTGAGGGTAGACCTGAACATCCATTCTCCTAATGAACTGAGCATGTATTCTTCTACAACACAGGGTGCCGGGGGATGAAGATGGCAGGGCTTATTTTGAATGGAGAGGCAGCTCTTTTTGTCATTTCAGTCACTAACGACATTTCAGTCACTAACATGGCACATAGGTCTGATCTCTGACAGTTCTTCTGAGTAATGTGAGGAGATAATGTTCACATCAAGCATCATTATTTACATATCACATTACATGATAAGTTCTCTTCTCTCCTTGTTTGGCTTTGGGATGGCATTTATTTCATCATCAAAAGATAAACCTATTGCATTTTCACTTTGCTCATTAAAAACACAAAGAGTAATTACAATTTAGAACAGTTCTAACAGAGCCATTTTTCCCCTCTGAGGTACTGCTTAGTTAATATAGAGTAAGTTAGAAGAATTATAACCACATTAAAACTGCTGTAAGAAAGAAGAAATTAGATCCAAACATTATAATTAATTAGAGACAATACATGAGCCAAATTCAGTTGAAATATTTTATACAGCAAATAATATAGTCATAGTTTCCATTTTTGAGTTCTTCCATATGAAGTTCTATTTAATTTCAACAAAAATAATATTTTACTAATTTCCATTTTCAACCTAATTAATACTGTTTCACTGAAAGAGAGAGCTGGGTAATACTTTTTATCATGCATAACATATCCTATAAAAGAACAGCATTCTTTTCCTTAGTCTTATGATATTTAAAAATCAAACAAATATAGGACTAGAGAAAGACATTACCTAAGTTCATTTTAAACAGAGGAACAGCTACTATATTTTACAGTGTATAGGTTGACACAGTGTATAAGTCAACCATATATTTCTGTACAAAAAAGCTAGGAGTTTTGTAGATCTGTAGTATAAGTTGACCACGCCTTGGTGTGCAAGGTGCTGGAAGCCTGGGCAAGCTTGTGAGAGAAGCAGAGTGCTGGCGGGCTCCTGGGAAGATGGATTGGG